AGGAGAACGGTTGCAGTTATAGACTAGAAACCAATTTCAAAAGAAAATTCAAAGGGCTGTAACTTTTGAACTAGTAGCCCAATCTTGGAACTGTTTGAAATTATGGATTCTACAGGCCACATTCTATAAGAAATTTTTTTTTCCGGGTCGATCTGAGACAATTTTTTTTGAGGCCCGAAAAAAAAGGCAGTGTATAACCTTCGTTTTTTACCAAAAATCGACTGCATCATTTTTCTCGGGAAAACACTTTTTCTTATTAATTTTGGTGCGTAGAATCCAAAACAATTCGTACTTTTTCGATCAGACTTCTCAATCAAAAGTTATAGACTAGAAACCAATTTCAAAAGAAAATTCAAAGGGCTGTAACTTTTGAACTAGTAGCCCAGTCTTGGAACTGTTTGAAATTATGGATTCTACAGGCCACGTTCTATAAGAAAATTTTTTCCGCGTCGATCTGAGACAATTTTTTTGAGGGCCCGAAAAAAAAGGCAGTGTACAACCAATTCCTTTTTTACCAAAAATCGACTGCACCAAAATTTCTCGGGAAAACAATTTTTCTTATTAATTTTGGTGCGTAGAATCCAAAACAATTCGTACTTTTTCGATCAGACTTCTCAATCAAAAGTTATAGACTAGAAAACAGGGTTGCACCAGAACATTGGGATAGTGGATATAAGGCTTTGAAGTAATTTGAAAGGGAATTGAATAAAGCCTTAGTTAAACTCAAAGACTCGAACCATTTAAAAAGGATTTACTAAAAAAATTAAAGAATAAGGAATTTGAGAGGTCCTTTTTAAGGACTTGGAAAAATGGATGGTGTGACATTTTTTAAAGTAATTTGTTCTGAAAGTTGAAGATTAATTAATTTATGTACTAAAATAGTATATTGAAAGACAAGTGTTACAATGCGACCTATTGTAATACGACTATCTTGTGGCACGAGTGGCTACGCTTGAGTGTCCGCAAGATAGGAGTATTACAATAAAGCGTTGTAACACGCGTTTTTCATACTATTTTTTCTATTTCGGTGCTTTAAAGTAGTTAGAGCGCGTTCGGCTGAAGTCAAGTGACCTACTCGGCCTACCTATTACTTACGGTAAACGTCCCCAAAAAAATGTTGTTATGAAGGAAACATAATTAGAAATACGGTATGAGTGGTATTTTGTACCTCAGCACAATGCAAACGTCTTACATGATTTTTAAAAAGGTATATACAGTATTCAACTTGACTAGTCTCCCTACTTTTCGACCCTGTTTCAAACCTTTGCACACTAAACTGTTGACGACACACCGCGACTAAATATTCACAGTGTAAGCGGTAAATCCTAAACGAATATATTTATTTTTAAACAAAACGTATGCGAGACGTATGTAAAAGTCGGGAAACTAAATAATTTGGCGTTTTACGTGAAGTCGGTGTAGTGGATTTGGTTTTTCGATGTTGGCGCCAGAGATCCCCAGCCGCTATCTTGATCTCGATCCGATCAGTGTGTCAACAAGACGTGTGCAGGCCTTTATAAATATCGCTGGTTTTGGTGTTCTTTCTGAAAGACACCATGTCTTTTGTGAAGAAAAGTGCTCAGCAGAAGAAGGAAAAGATTGTCCTAGCTCAGCTATATACTAGACCTAGTGGAAAAGTCATCAGATTTAAACGCGTGCTGCATAGCGTGCCGCCGCGTCAGAACAGACGCCGCTTCGGCGGTAAATATCTTCCTTATTTCATCATGAACATGTACTTTTCCGTGCATATTTAGATTCGTCACAAAATTTCGCTTCTAATGAGACCCATGTCGTTTAAGTCTTGTTACAAAAACCTTCGCTAGCTCAGAAAAACTGAGTCTGTCCATAAGAGCCCATGTTAAAATACTCTGTTTTTACTGTCAAATATCTCAGAAACGGCACATAGGAACACTTTTTTCTTTTATTTATTATTTATCATTAGAAAGTGCGTCTCTCAGAGAATAAGTGACCAAATTTTCACCAACTTCTTGTTACTTTTACCGAGGCGCTCTAACTACTTTAATTTAATTAAAAAAATCATTATCAGAAACTATAGGGAACATTAGAACTAACATGTTTTATGTTGGGAACAGTTTTTATGCCGTTAAGTTTTAGGTTGGCAGCGTAGTAAGACTGACATTTTGAAGTTCAAACATGGAAGTACCCAACGAAGTACCTACTTGTACTAACTAGTAACTGCCAACTTAAGAGATGAAAAAAAATTATCAAAGTCCTCGTTTGAGATCGAAGGGACTTCAGCGCATTTTTGTGTGGCAGATCAGTATTCTATTAGCCACTTTCGATTCAACCATCAATAACAGATTTTGTCGAAGGCTACTACATTCACTAACCGCTTCCCACTTTCCTCGTGCACCCGCAATTCGCTTTTAAAGATTTGACTCCACCATCAGGAAGATCGAGTCGGGGGCTACCACATTTCCTTTGACGGTACCCCCTTCCGACGTCCCGTTCACCCGCAATTCGCGATTGAAGATTTGACTCCACCATCAGTGAGATCGTGTCGCGGGCTACCACATTCCCTTTACGGTACCCACTTCCGACGTCCCGTTCACCCGCAATTCGCGTTTGAAGATTTGACTCCACCATCAGGAAGATCGTGTCGGGGGCTACCACATTCCCTTTGACGGTACCTCCTTCCGACGTCCCGTTCACCCGCAATTCGCGTTTGAAGATTTGACTCCACAATCAGGAAGATCGTGTCGGGGGCTACCACATTTCCTTTGACGGTACCCCCTTCCGACGTCCCGTTCACCCGCAATTCGCGATTGAAGATTTGACTCCACCATCAGTGAGATCGTGTCGCGGGCTACCACATCCCCTTTTACGGTACCCCCTTCCGACGTCCCGTTCACCCGCAATTCGCGTTTGAAGATTTGACTCCACCATCAGGAAGATCGTGTCGGGGGCTACCACATTCCTTTGACGGTACCCCCTTCCGACGTCCCGTTCACCCGCAATTCGCGTTTGAAGATTTGACTCCACCATCAGGAAGATCGTGTCGCGGGCTACCACATTCCCTTTGACGGTACCCACTTCCGACGTCCCGTTCACCCGCAATTCGCGTTTGAAGATTTGACTCCACCATCAGGAAGATCGTGTCGGGGGCTACCACATTTCCTTTGACGGTACCCCCTTCCGACGTCCCGTTCACCCGCAATTCGCGTTTGAAGATTTGACTCCACCATCAGGAAGATCGTGTCGGGGGCTACCACATTTCCTTTGACGGTACCCCCTTCCGACGTCCCGTTCACCCGCAATTCGCGATTGAAGATTTGACTCCACCATCAGTGAGATCGTGTCGCGGGCTACCACATTCCCTTTTACGGTACCCACTTCCGACGTCCCGTTCACCCGCAATTCGCGTTTGAAGATTTGACTCCACCATCAGGAAGATCGTGTCGGGGGCTACCACATTCCCTTTGACGGTACCCCCTTCCGACGTCCCGTTCACCCGCAATTCGCGTTTGAAGATTTGACTCCACCATCAGGAGATCGTGTCGGGGGCTACCACATTCCCTTTTACGGTACCCACTTCCGACGTCCCGTTCACCCGCAATTCGCGTTTGAAGATTTGACTCCACCATCAGGAAGATCGTGTCGGGGGCTACCACATTCCCGTTGACGGTACCCCCTTCCGACGTCCCGTTCACTCGCAATTCGCGTTTGAAGATTTGACTCCACCATCAGTGAGATCGTGTCGCGGGCTACCACATTCTCTTTTACGGTACCCACTTCCGACGTCCCGTTCACTCGCAATTCACTTCTATTGGCGACACGAGAAAGAGAGACAGCGATTCGAGATTCACGAAACGTTAAACCGCGTGAGTTCGCAACGGAAGGTAAAAGGCGCCTGACTACCTCTCGAAGACGCGCGCGCGCGCCGCGCAAAAGGTCGTTAATTTCGCCCCTATGACAAAAAACAAAATTCCGCCACGCAGGAGTTGTGCGCGTTTACAACATCTTTCCGACGACACCAATTTCAAAAGAATCGGACCAAAACTGTAGTAGAAGATAGGAAAAAACTGAAAAACCTTCACGTTAGTATACTACGCTCGAGGATGACGCCCAGATGTCGCCAACCCCACATCATGTAGCCATGTCCCTAAGGTTGACAAATTTCACGGCCCTGTAGATACACGTACACCCGTTGCCTTTCTACAAGAGTTCTTCTACGCGCCCACATTTGCTGCCAGCCAGCCAGCCAGCCAGCCAGCCAAAGTGAGATTAAAAGCTACTTTTTACAAAAAAAATTTTTTGCAAAAATGCGCTAAAAATGAGAAGTTTGTTTTTGCAAGATGTCTCCTTTATTTTTAAAAATTTTGAAAGATACTCTAATTTTGCATTAAGTGGTTTTTTGAGTTTTACTTTTGTAAATGGAACATACAGTGGTGTTCCCATAGGGTATACTCTCAATCAAGGCACCACTGGACATGAAACACCACAACCACCCACTCAGCTGAGTACACTCTCAAAGAAATTGATGGGAACATCACTGCGTGTGCTTATACAGGATGTCCAATTAGTACTTCTGGTGCTAGTTAATTCATATAACGTAAATTAATTTTTTAATGTACAGAGTGCTCCATAAATATGGTATGAGACATTACTGTGGTATTTTAAATAAAACACTATTCACTCTGTCCAAGGTAAAGTTGTCTATAATGAGGAATTTTTGAATATACAGGGTGCTTCATAAAGGAGGTGTGAGACACAACTGCCATTTTAAATAAAACGCTATACACTCTGTCATAAACATGTCTACCATGGGATCGGAAAATTTTCCAGGAAATTTGTTCAATATGAACAATGAGGGCGTTGTGCGCGAGTAAACCATCCTGTTGAAACCATCCATTTTTAACTTTTGTTTTTTTAGTGTGGCCTTTAGGTATATCCGTTGTATTTGTAATCAAATATGCTACTCAATACAGTAACTACTTTTTTTACGGGCCCTATAAAAATTTTTAATTTTGTTGGGATTTTCACATATAAAATTAAAATTAAATTATTCGGATTGAAATTCCTTTAATTGCGGAAATCCTTTCACATTTGTGAAGATACTCGAAACTTTTGTTTTGAGTGGTTTTTTTTTTCGGATTGCTTGCGACTTCCCCCTCAATATTGACCTCATTACATGCACATCTGTGTTTTCAATTCAATATCGCCTTGATGTATGTGCAGCGCGCGGAAAAATGCCACAGAGTTGAAAGACGCACTTGCAAGTGTAGTGGTGCCAATGTTTTGTAATGCAAGTATCGGGGCAACTGACGAGCAGAAAAATAAATTAGATAAATTATTAAGATTATGGGAGTCGAAGGCTAATTACTTAGCGACGGAAACCGTCGAGCAAATGCGCCAACCGGTCGCTAGCTACCAACAATTCAAGACCGACCAGGTCTCCAAGTTCGCGTCGGAAGTGGCGCCGTTAGCGCAACAGACGAAGGCGACGTATGATGGATATCAAGCACAGCACCAGGCGTTCGTTTGCCACGCGATGGCGCAGATTCTCGAGCTGCAACAGCAAGTGCAGAATATTGAGGCCCAAATTCAGTCGCAACCGCCTCCTCCCATTACCTCCAACATTCCGAAGTCATCGCCGGTGATGAACACGAACATAATACCCCTCGACGCTCTTCAGGCCAACCTGCAGCAAACGATGGCGCAACAATCGACCAACGAAAACGGATCGCAGGTTCAACACTTGGGAATGAATCCCCCCAATCCCGATTTGGTTCCGTCCGAAAGCCCAAACTTTCTGCCACCAATGAATCCCTCGGTACCACCACCTTTAATGTCCCAGAATAACCTTGACGTTCCGCAATTCTCCCAGCCTCCTCCCGGATTTTTCCCGCCTCCCGGCTTGTTCCCCGACTTCTCCAAGCCTCCCCCCGGTTTCGCGCCGCCGCCAGAGCCCGTTCACGAAGACCTACTGCCTTCGGTTCCATACTACGACCTTCCGGCCGGCCTCATGGTCCCACTAATAAAGGTACACAACAATTTAATTTTTCTCTTGTCATTGTCTTGACAACAAAAACGACCGATTGGCGACATTTCGAGCTAAAACGTTGTGCTGATTCTAGTTGGAAGACACCTCTTTTAAACCGTTAGATCCTAAAGATATTAGGTTGCCACCGCCGCAACCTCCGACCGAACGATTGCTTGCTGCCGTGGACGCATTTTATTCACCGCCGACGCACGAACGTCCCAGGGACAGGTAAAGTATTTAATTTATTGTATTGATCCCCATTAACTTGGCATTTTTTAATTTTAATAAGGTCTTATTTATTTATGTGTTGTAATATGTACATAGCGCACCGAAGTGAGTAGATGTGCAGCATTGATTCTAAACCAAAGAAAGTCACTAGATTTAGTAACTTTTTTTGGTTAGAGGTAGAATTGGTTTTAGGGTCATTTTGAAGAGGTAAGATTTTGTTCGCTGACATGTTTTATATTTTCTTCAGCGTTCTGCCCCTATTCCACCAAAATTAATTCCATTGAAATCTTCTAAAAACGCACTACGTATTAAATACTGAACAATCGCTATTTTTTAATCGAGTCTTTCGGCGTGCTGCAACTCGATAAGTATCTAGCGTATGTGTGTTCTTCATTCAACCCCCCTCCCCTGTGCCATGCTGTATTCTCTTTTCTACTGCCATTTACTACTTCATTGTTAATAATCATTTCTCAATACTTTCTTATCGTTCCACACGAGGGGGGGGGGGGGGGGGGGGCTCACAGTTTAGTTTTCCTTTGGCCGCAAATACTAAAACTAATTGAAACTTAAATGTTGTCCGCGCGAATTAAAAAAAAGGTATGTATAGACTCTTCAACAATCCTGGAAAAAGTGTTTCAAAGTTCCGTTCAGCATCTTTTCTGTCCCCTTTTTGTTTTCCGTGTATTGCCTTGAGCAGAGAGAGAAGGGAGTTGTTTGATCTATAATCCCCTTCCTACTCGTCAAGTTTGTGTACCGAAATTTAACACCACTGCACGTGTGCTATATGGGAAAGTTTGGTCTAACTTGGTTTGGTCAAATTCAAATGGAAGGGTTGGGGTGGTAATTTGAGGGACTATCAAGTATGACTTTGACGCATGAGTGTAATGTGTGGACATCTCTCTGTCGTCAAATTAAAGTAAAAATTAGGACCGCAGTAAATTTTAATTTTTGTAACTTTTGTATCAATTCCGGTTAATTAGATGTACTAATTATTGTTAATCCATATTTAATACTGTGAAAGTGTCCGACAAAGAGATTCCACAGTTTAGTGAGGTCTGATGTGTACGATGATTGATTGTAAGATTTTGATGGGTAATTCACTTGAGGTAGATGTGCACCTCATTTTTTTCTGTTTGCCTTTCATCGAACCACACGCCATCTACTAACGATTGGTGTAACTAATACCATTGACTAATCTCCCCCCATAGTCAATGCTAATACTAGTTGGCTTGGCTATATGGAATGTATTGTATCATAACCATTTCGTTCGTAAGCGATCTATATTCTGCAGTGTGGTGCAGCTATTAGCAAATAGTACTGTTTTGTGATGATAGCACAAAGTGTAAGGTAATAATGTAATTATGTTATTTTTCTTATTCGTTATTCATAAACTTAAATTTAACTTCAATTACAAACCCAGTGAGGGTTGGGAAAAGCTAGGACTATACGAATACTACAAGGCAAAAAATAGCGCTAAAAGAGACAAAGAAGATGCAATAAATTCAGGTCTTCGAGAGAAATCGCGATCGCCGAGTCCCATACAGTTACCAGTCGAGAAAGAGCCCTCGCCACCTAGACGACGATACACGAGTCTATCGCCATCACCTCAAAGAAACAGGCGTTCGCGGTCGAGAAGCCCGCGAAGGAGTCGGCGACGCAGTCGAAGCAGGCGCAGGAACAGCAGACGAAGCTCGTCACATTCGAAGTCGCGCTCGCGTTCGCGATCTCCCGTGCCTCAGCCGAAGGTCGTCGTCCGATCTCCGTCCCCTCCACCTACGCTCTTCAGGTTTGCGTTAACTCAACAACTCGCCCTCGCCTTTAACGTCGTTTTACAGCGCAACTCCCACATTCACAAGCATAGAAACTCAACAAGAGCTGGATTCGAGCAACAAGGGGCATCAGATGTTGCGCAAAATGGGATGGGGTGGTAGCGGTCTGGGAGCGAACGAACAAGGAATTGACTCGCCAATATCCGGCGGCGACGTGCGCGATCGACAGGATCAGTTTAAGGGCATAGGATGTGATCTGAACGACCCGTATGAAAACTTCCGTAAAAACAAGGGAGCCGCTTTTATTACCAGGATGAAGGCAAGGGCCGAAGAACGAGCGAATGAAAGTAGTATGAGTAAGTAGCTGTAGGTTTTTTTTCTTTCATGCTTTCCTTTATGTTACAGGTAGTGTATGAATGACGTTGGAGTAACGTATGCGAGACTTTTTTGTAAATAGGTGTAGAAGATATTAATAAAATGATATTTGTAAGCTCTTTTTTGAAAATTAATGTACTTTTGTCAGACCAGGGTTGCCACATTGACTGGAACACCATCGCTCCATGCACCAAAATTGTGTCACATTGTCAAAATTGCGACCCCCGGCTATTTTTTTCATAACCTATATTTTGAAGGTGGCCAAAATGTGCAACGTTTTCTTATTTATGAAGTTGTTACTTTTCCACACCAATATACGGGTACGTATTGTATTGTCTTCTACGCATGCGCAAATGTAACTTTCTTATTTATGGACCGATCTTGATAGAAATTGTAACAGTAGGTAGCACCTTTTAATAAAGGCAAATCGATCATTATTAAACATTTTCAAATCTGCGCGCGAATGCGCCGAGGTAACATCGCTATTTGTTGACTTCTTTCTCAAATGAACTGTGAAGTAAGTATTGTATCGACAGATCCGGGAAGCATTGTATACTGTACGTTTAAATAGACCAGTTGTACTACACTCAGAACATGAAAGCACTTGTGTGGGAAAATTTTGCGCAAGCGCAACCATCCACGCATCCTGTAATCTTGGTATAGATCTATCATGGGCGGCGTATGCCGTTTGTTTCTTGCGTTATTCATTATACTAGTCGCCTTTGGAATGTTTGTTTACACGCAAATTTATTTATCTTTCTCTTGCAACTTGCATGCAATGGGGTCATCCCGCCTTCATTTTTTATTTCTGATCCACAAAGTACATTAAAAATAAAAAGACCCGTGTGTCCTCAATTTTTATTTGCGAGTAAAATAAACCCAAAATAAATTATTAAAAAGCTGTGTTTTTAGTCCGAATTTGAAACGATTCAGACTAAATACGTCACAAACCTACAACCAATCACGTAGAAGTGAGCTGGCAACCTTACGCGAGGGTCTGACGTTTGTCACATTTGACGTTTTGAGAGGGATGTTTAACTGCATCTAGCACGAAAGTGACAAGTGCCTGTGACAGATGACGCAAGTTATAAATGCCATTCTCCTGCAATATTGCCAAGTCGTTATGTCATCTGAATGGTTCTAGGAGCTGATTGGTCGGGCTTATTACGTCACAGAGCCCGCCACAATTGAATAAACCTTTAAAACCGCACGTTCATTATTTTTTTTGCTAATCAGCCTGTATTTTTAAATAAACTTTTACTGTCCAAAAAAATGTTTTATGGTTTCAGGTACACGCTTATTAAACTAGAACTGCGGAATTCAATTATACTGTAAACCCCCATTGCAATTTTGTTGCTCCATGTCAGGCGGGCTTTACATGTGGTAATTAAGGAACACACTGTACACATACAATATAAAAATTGAACAAAAACAACTTTATAAAATTTTTTTATTGATAGATAGGTACATTTAATGGTTAGAAGAAGTATTGGGCTTAGACCAATCAACATTAAGAATCAAATGATCGTATCCGTGCCCGTTCAGATTAGCAATAGCTTTAACAGCATCATTACGAAATTTAAAATGAACATAACCGAATCCTCTACACTGACCAGTCTGCTTCTCCTTGGCCAAATACAATTTGTGAACGGGTCCGAATGGTTTTACCAGCTCTTCCAAATCGGCGTCGGTTGTGGAATCGCTCAAATTAGAGACGCGTATAGCAATGGCATCGTCGCGACGTGCACCCGACATGCCGGCATTATCGATGCGTTTAGATGCACCGTCACCTCGCATATTCGGCGGCAGATACTTGGTCGTCGATTTTGTAGTGCTATCGGCGGTTTGGGGTTGCATTTGTGGTGCTTTCTTTTCACCGTCAGCCGTCTTGGCGCTGGCAAGCGCGGTGTCCTTCCAAGGACATTTAGAAGTCCAATGGTCCCCGTTGCAGGTTCGACATTTCACGACTGCCTTATCGCCCATCACTGAAACTCGCCTATAATAATGTTGCTCATATTAAAAAAGCACTTACTCTTCAATTTATCCAAGGCGTCTTCCTCCACCTTGTTATCCTCCTCTTTACTGGTGACATACTGCATGTAAACATCTTCTCCGCCTATGGTAGTTGCCGGATTCGGGCCGGGCTTGTCATCGGCCGATTCACCGAATTTTGCCCAAGTTTTACGTAGCGCGATACTCTTCGAAACTATACGCTTCTCGATTTTGTACGTACGTACAATCTTAACTTTCTTGTTGTCCTCCCCGAGTTTATACTCGGTGAGAATTTTAAAACCATTCTCGCGTACTTCCGTCGAGGGAGGCAAAGCTCCACCTTCCAACTCAACCTCGTCTGCCCAACTCGATTTTACCTCCTCTGCTGCGGGCATATTGTACAAATTTGTTTTTTTTTAAGGGAAAGCTTACACGTTACTTATTTATAACCTCACTTCTTTGACAGACCATATCCCTACATCAAATAAACAAAAAAGTCCCTAGGGTCAAGGTTCAGAAATAAATCATTCTACAGGGGGATCGTAAATGATTGACGGTGAGTTGCTGTTTGCACGTTCTTGTTTACACAAAAACTCTGTTTTTCTAAATCGGTAGCAAAGGTCTGTCGCTTACATGAGTTCGTAGATCTCACGCTACTTAGTGATGTATTCATGATTTGTATGCAATGCCATTGTTAATTTAATTAATGAATGGTTTTATTTTTTTAGAGAAGGTTAATGCGATTGTAAGGAAAAGTTCTCATTTCTAGTCTAGTACATATAGTTTTTTGATAAAATACAAAAGTCCAAAATTAAGATTATTGAGTTATTGCGAAAAACTAAAATAATTTGATCAAAGGTGATTTCATTCGGTTTTAAACGTTCCCAATTTAACCAATTCCACATGTTAGGCGAGAGAAATGGACACTATATACTATATACATGTTGTTCCCAAATATTTAGGAACAACATGTATGCTGTAAATACGGAAGGGACTAATTCTTAGGCTTATTTTATGACTAAACGTTCATATAAACACAGGTCCGTAAACGCTTCGTTACAGAAAAATTTGTGCATTGTCGTAAATTGTATATATATACAGGGTGGAACTTCTTAACTTTCTGATCTTTCCACTGTTCTAACTAGACCACTAAAAAAGAGATTGCAACTCAAATATTTTATTAACAGTTATACTTAAGCACATTGTTTAAATAAAAAACTAAGATATAAATACTCTTATGTACAATTTTACATATTTAAACTTTTAAGAATGTTAAAAACAAATCAAGTATCTACAGTACAAGTAAGCGAAGGCCACATCAGCTATACTTATACTAGCACAGCGGCGTAGATAATTTGCTTAATTAATCCGCAGCTGCTTAAAAACACGTTAAAAAAATACTGTTAATTCGTGCGCCTACGACTTTAACGCGGCCAAACGGCTCTGCATATCTTCCAATTCCTCTTCGTTCTCCTCCTCGTCGGGCACGTCGACGACCTGCTTTTTCGCCTCGGTGACGGGAGGCGCGGGAGCCTCGCCCAGCTTACCCTCGGTAAGCTCCCAGAGCACCTTGTCGACCTCGGTCTGCGCCGCCTCCTCCATCTCCTGACTGTCCTCCTCCATCGCGTCCATCGTTTCGTCAATCATCTCCTCGATGATGCCCGCCTTCATCATTTCCTTTGACAGTTCTTGCATGGTGTGCGCCACTTCCGGTATTCGAATTAATCGCTGCATCGCTTGCATTACCTCGGTGGATTTTGAGAGCGAACCGGCGACACGTAATGTAGCTGTTTTATAATAATAATTTTAGTTGTTAAGATATACAGGGTGTCCTACGACAAATGCCAACAAAATGGAGACATTCTTACCTAACTGATTTTTCATTTGTAATTGAACAGAGTTTAAGTGGGCCTTCGATGTGTAGATCTTTGTGATCGCTTTACGTGCACGTAACACCTCTTTTGCGAGGATGGTACACGCTTCACGATCATTTTTCTTGGCTGCCTCTTTCAGAGAGCGTTTCACCTTCTCTTCCTCGCGTTGTATCGCTACAACACTTAAGTGAGTATATTACTATCGACAAATAGTGCATACCTCGAATCTGCCTGTCCAATTGGGAATTCTCCTTGCGAAGCTTGTGAGACCACTCGTTCACCTAAAAGAAGACACCGAGTCATAGTAAAGGTGGCATGACGGGCGATTATTACCAGCTCTTTGGGATTTCTTTCAGGAGTTTTTCCAAATAGGCCCATATTTGGATGTATTTAGTTTATTATTCATTCAGTAGTGTCAAATTTTTAGGTGTAATTCGTTGACAGTTCAGTAAATTGTCAATAAATGCATGCGTAGCAAATCACAACAAAACTATAGAGCGGCACATGTAGAAATAGGATGTATATGTTTTATACAGTGTCCAACGATAAGGTGAGTCGATTATTATTATAGGCCCCTTGTTTGAATAAACAATGCTGCACCCATTTTTGCGAGCTGGCAACCGCGCGACTTTTTAGAACGGAAAAAGCCAGACTGCGCCGCTTCGAGAGCAAGAACGCTTCTTGCGTTACAGCCATTTTGGTTTGAGCTGTCGTCGATAGAGCATCCTATAGTTTAAGTTTGTGTTTTTTTGTTTTATTTAACGTAGGTAGTAATCTTTGCATTTCTTTATTTGTTTTATATGCAACATGTTATACAGACGTGTGTCGCAACATTACGAAGCATAACTTTTTCGTAATGTTAATAATAACTACTGTAACAAGCCTTTCGTTTTTGCTGCACTTAAAAATCGAACGGTAATCGTAATCTGCTCGTATACATAAAATTTCATTATATTTTAAGCCCCAAGTGTTTATTGGTCACACTAATTGCGTTACTTCTAGTTCAATTTTAAAAAAGTGGAAATCTTACACTTAACATACACTGCGCGACGAACACAAGTTACTCAGAAACGACGGCCATCTTGAGATTGTGCTCACGTTATTTACATTTTAGTCGAACTCGTGAATTGGCAGAAGGACGCTGCACCCAGGCAGGAACCGATCAAACTGCTCCTTTTATTGGATGAAGATGAAGCCAAAGGATGCCATGTCTGTGTCAAAAATGGGATGATCAATTTTTAATAGTTTCAGGCTCCATACGAATAATATACTGTACTAAACCACTGTTACCAATCTCTTCTGTCATCTCGACAGTGTTACCACCGGCACAGAACAAAATCGTTATTTACATTTCGCATTGTGTGGGACGTTCCGAAATTAAATGTTCGTTAATTAATTTATTGCAGCTCATTTGTGTAAATTTGTATTGTTATTTGTTTAAAAAGCGAAGTGACGCGACGGCTCACGACCGTTTCATTTAAAATTTGGAGCCGTTCCTGCTTTTAATTAGGAGTGCGATTCTCGTTATTGTTGATTTTAATTTTAAAATGAAGTTAATCACAAAGATGAATTATTGCTACCTGGTTAAGTCAGTTTAGAGTGCGACTTTCAATATTGCCGTCGTCGGTGCGAAGTAAGTACGTGTTATGTAAATTATGTAAAGCGTTTATTTACTTCCTATTTGGCACCGTTGGTGCAACAATGTTTTTGCAACCTTTAAGCGGGCGGGCTAAATTTAAACGTGTTTTGGCCGCATATGTACTTTCAGTTCCACTTTTTACTCCACTTACGTGAAAATAGTATCCATATCACATGCTGTTAAATGCTAGTCATGCTGCTTAAGCATTTATCCGCGAAGGTTACGTACTTCACACATTTATTGCACTGTCATCGCTGATAGTGCTTTCCATCCTTGTCGCGTACACGTAAAGGGTGCGGAGATGCTGCGCGAAGAAGAGGATGACAATAGGGTTCAGGAAATCACCCCGGCTTTCCCAGAGCGAGATTTTTCAAAAATACTACCTACAACGTTCCATACACCCACTTAATTACGGACAATTTATGAGTTCTGTCGCACCATGACGCGACGAACTATATTTTACCGATTTTGCAAGTCATTATTATTATTAAATAACACTTTTTTGGACGCCCGTACTTCCCTTGCTACAGTCCACGCGACATCCATTCACGCGAACGCGCCTTCACCCAACGTCGTTTTATTTTCAAAATTGTTTTTCAAAATTATGGTCTGGCTGTCTTTTAATACTGTCGATTTTGGCCCAAATAGGTATGTATTTTTTAACAGTTTTGAGTGTTTTGAACTTCGCTTTAAATCACATTTTTGGGAGGTTTTTACACATTTCATGTACAGGGTGTCCAAAACGATGATTATAAGCGCATATTTTTGAAAAAATGTACGTAGCTACTTGAAATGTTTTTGTTTTCAGGGCCCACAATCTACCCTTTAAGTGTACAGGGTGGTTCAAATTCGTGGCTCGCCATTTTTATATACTCGTACACTAAATAAAAGGTTAACGAAACGGACTCATTACTTTCATGATTTGCTTAAATAGAACTGTGGCCATACCTATTATATGACAACTATTTATAAACTTATACAGGGTACTCATGGATTAATGTCAATCTTCATAGATTTGAAAATACAGGAAACCCCTTTTTAGGTTATTAAATGAGCTCCATTTAATGTGAAATATTTTCAATTTTTTTTCATTCGCAAAAAGCAAAAAGGTAAACGAAAAAGAATCGTTACTTTCAGGATTTGTTCTAGGATCTAGGCCATAACTAATATATAACAACCATTCAAACATTTATACAGGGTGCTCAGGAATTAATCTCAAGCTTTGTAGTTTTGAAAATGCAATCCCTTTTTAAAATGAACTCCATTTAATGTGAAATATTTTCAGTTGTGTACAATTTTTGGCTTTAATTCGAAACGGTTTTTTTGATTTTTTTTGAAATTTTTTAAATTGTGATTAATTCGCGAAATTATTAGCCGTATATGGTAAATAAAACAGACTTGTTACTTTCAGGATTTCATTTAACAAAACCTAAGCCTTATTTAATATGTAACAACTGTTCAAAGATTTATACAGGGTGCGCAGGAGTTCAAGTCGAATTTCATATTTTCGAAAATGCAAAAAATCAATTTTTCCGTTTCATGTTATTCAATGAACTTATTTCAGGTAAGGGCAATTTGTAATTACATTTTTTATTTTGTAGCAGATGTTAAATTGGCGTTTTGATTTTAATTTGAATGAGTGTCTCTTTTAACAATTAGAGTAGATAAGGTGATTACTTTAACGGCACGGGTAGATAAAATTGTGGTATTCCAATGATATCTGTCGTTCTTATTAAAAATGGGACGCGGCGCACGAAATAAAATGACTGAATGTAATAAATGCGATTTCAGATGACTTCAAAATATCAGTAAATCTGATTCTTTCATTCTGATTTGAGTAAATTGCGAGAGATTTCAGTGGATTTCAAGGGGTTTCAAATAACTTCATGTATTAAATATGACTTTTTCTCACAATTTCCCAATGCGATTTCAGATTTTGTATCAGTGTGACTTCCAAGTGATTTCAGAAACATTTTTTCTCAGTGGGATATCAAATTGTTTCAAAATTCAAGAGTGTTCGATGCTATTTCAGAAATTATCTCAATTTACTTATTAATAATAATTTTATAACAATTACATAAGTAGGTATTATAATATGTTTTTATCTCAGAATCTTAAAATCGATTGTGAAGTGGCAAGTCACTTTGAGATAATTCATACGTAGATCTGTGATCGAGAATAGTATGAGGCATTGTTTTTTTGTTATTCGTTGAGTAATGGTGTTGCGTTGTACCGAGTATGATTTTAGGAGGTAGGTCTCTTCTTGCGCTTAGCAGAAAGTGGCTGTGACAAATTCGACTGTAAACAATCACATAAATTAGAAATGAAAGCAAATACTCTCGTAATTTTAGTAATTTATTTTTGCAGAATGGATGGAGATGAAGGCTGCAGCTATGGCTCTACAAATGGATTGGATTCGAGTCCGCACAAGCCGAGCCAATCTCAGTCTCCCTCTTGCAATGCCGTGGATCTTGGAGATATGAGCTTTATGATGGTCGACTATATAAAAGACGCGATGAAGGTAGGAAATGATTTAAAATTTTCTTTTCAACTGTAAAACATAACCTGTTCCCGTTCCCGTGGGAATTTCATAAACTTTCACGGGCATACGTCCAACGATTCCTCATTCCTTCTTTTTACTAAACGTGGATAAAGTAACGGACCTTTTTTTAAACACCCTGTGTATAGGTTTCCAAAATATTTCTGACAAAATTTTCTACACATCTCACGCTCTCATTTTGGTTAGATTTCTCAAGTTCAAACGTTTATAGGCAATGGACATGATGAGAAATCACCACATGTTAACCGACGTCGTTCTGGAAGTGGGAGCGGAACTTTTTCACGCCCACCGTTTAGTGTTAGCCGCCGCTAGTCCGTACTTTAAGGCCATGTTTACAGGGGGACTGCGCGAGTGCGACATGAATCGCGTGCAGTTGCAGGGGGTGTCGGCGACGGTGATGGCGCGCCTGATACATTTCATGTACACCGGACGGATAAGGGTCACCGAAAATACCGTGTGTCAGCTACTTCCCGCCGCCACCATGTTTCAGGTACGAATTGATTCGGCTCGAAGAACCAACTATCGCTTCATTTTAGATTACGAACGTTATTCAAGCCTGCTGTGATTTTCTGGCACGTCAATTAGATCCTAGCAACGCGATCGGTATAGCGACATTCGCCGAGCAGCACGGTTGCACCGAACTGTGTCGGAAAGCGAATCAGTATATCGAAAGACATTTTATTCAGGTAGGTAAGAGACGCTTATCTAATTTTGTAAAACCGCCGTATGTACAGATCTGTCACGAGGAGGAATTCCTTCAACTCAACTGTGTACAATTAATTACGTTAATTAAGAAGGACGAGCTAAACGTTCAGGCGGAGGAAGAGGTGTATAAGGCTGTGATAAAGTGGGTAAGGTACGACGAGGACAATCGGCACGTTAAGATGGAGCATATAATTAGCGCGGTTCGGTGTCAGTTTCTTACTCCCAAGTTCCTCAATGACCAAATGACGAACTGTGATGTGTTGAGGAAAACGCCCGCGTGTCGAGAATATCTGGCGAGGATATTTAAGGTAGTTACATTCAAGCAATAGATTTGCATACTAAGTCTTTAAGAGTCCTTTAAAAGTTTATACGAATAATGTTCTTCTCGAGCGCGCCCGTTTTACTCCCTTATCTCTAGACATTACTTTTGTTCACGTTTGCTGAGAAGCGGTATAAGTGTAAATTTTCCTATGTTAAATAATGTTCAAAAGTGAAAATTAATATTTTGAAAACGGCTAACGCGACCACCCGTTACAACTCTCAGTTAGCCTTTTGTTTTTTTGGGAGGGGGGGGGGCTGCATACATCCCATGTATTTCTGTCAAGTTATGCTAGATTAAGAAACTTTTAGTTATTGCTAACACCAAATTAAATATGCAAATCTATTGCTATCTTTTAAGTCATCGTCTCAAACATTAATCCGTTTCAGGATTTAACACTACATAAGAAATTAGCTGTGAAAGAGAGAACTCCGAATACTCCTAGGATAATTTATGTGGCGGGCGGTTACTTTAGGCACTCATTAAACGTTTTGGAAGGGTACAATGTGGACGATAAGACGTGGCATACTCTGGACAACCTAACAGTTCCCAGATCCGGACTAGGCGGGGCCTTTTTAAAGGTAACATTGGACGAAGCTGCCTGTCAATTTTGTTGCACTTAACGTATAAGTAGGAATAAGTTTTTTTATTTGAAACACAATTCAGGGTTCATTTTATGCAGTGGGAGGTAGAAACAACACTCAAGGCAACAGTTCCGATTCCGACTGGGTCGATAAATATAACCCCGCCAAGGATCAGTGGAGACCTTGTAGTCCGATGTCTGTAGCTCGCAATCGTGTCGGTGTGGCTGTCATGGACGATTTGCTGTACGCTGTAGGTGGAAGTGAGGGCAACAAATACCACAACAGTGTCGAATTGTAAGTTGACACTTCTTGTGGCAGTTAATGTAACATATACACCAATAAGAAACCACTCACCCTCAACTATTTACCTGCTGCATGGTGACTAGATTTTACCCAATCAATTGATGTTTTTATTTTACATGTTGTTTAATCTTAACAATAAATAAATAAATTGAACTTAATCAAAAATAAGAGAGGTCATTAATTTTTTTTTCAGTTACGATCCAGAATTAGACCAATGGACGAACGTCAAGCCGATGCACACGCAGCGCCTGGCAGTAGGAGTCGCCGTCGTGAGCAGGCTACTGTACGCCATCGGCGGTTTTGACGGGACCAATCGGCTTAGCACCGTAGAGTGCTACCACCCGGAAAACAACGAATGGACGATGGTTAACTCGATGCATACGCAAAGAAGCGGAGCGGGCGTGGCGGGCATAAATCACTACATCTACGTAATCGGAGGTTATGACGGCAAGAGGCAGTTAAATTCTGTAGAACGGTACGATACGGAAAGAAATACTTGGGAATTCATGTCGAGCATGAAAGTTGCAAGGAGTGCTTTAAGTGTAACAGTTTTAGACTGTCGAATATACGCTATGGGTATGTTAAAAAATGACGCCTACTGTTCGTCATACTTATCTGTCTTTTTAGGTGGATACGACGGACAGAATTTTCTGTCGACCGTAGAAGTGTATAATCCAATGTTAAACACATGGGAAGATGGTGAACCTCTTTCTTCAGGAAGATCAGGTCATGCTAGTGCTGTTTGCTATCAAAATCCCAACTGCCAGCTGCCAGCTAAAGAATGCTTAATTAAAGATAGAGTATTACCTTGAATACAAATTGTAATGTGTAGGTAGTAGTTGGTAATATTTACCAGTATGTTCTTGGTGATATTCATCTTAGTCATTTTTGTATAATAAATGTCATTATTTATTTTTTAGTATCTACACGATGTAATGCTGTGATTTCATTTATCTTGTAATTTGACATTCCTTCTACATTAACTTAATAAACATCATTTTTTTATCTTAACACTTGCTTTTAAAACTCATTAGTCTATGAGAGTAAAGGGACGCAAAAAACATTGGTCCAACAATTGATGAGTGCAAGACATTTTATTAGTATGCAGATCTCGCCCTGTAGACTATTTACACTTAAAAGTTATGAAGAAGAAAGTCGATCAGAAAGAAGAAACCAGATTCATCACCCAGTATACTCTTCTAATACAAATATTGAAGTGAAAAATTCCTCTCGAATTATACATATCATCATATATTATGTTCTCCTGATGGTGAGTAAAATTTAGAGAGATGAGTGCTTTATGCATTACGAGCAGAAACCCTTGTACAAATTCTCAGGGCCTGCAAGGTAAGTGTAAGTAACCAAGAAGAAAGTGACAAAACACAACTCCTGTGAATAGAAATGAACTCTTCAGCTTCCCTTATGATGTTCTCTAGTAAACATTTACAATTTTTCACATATAATTTTAGATTAGAAAAACATCTCTAAGTGGACAATGGACCAATTACATTAAAAGCTTCCTGGTCGATTTCGGACAGGTCATTTTGGGTATTTATATTCAGCGCACGGAAAGAATCAAAGGGACCGTGAAAAGTTTTTCCGTGCGCTAGCCTGAAAAGGGCCAGATACCATTATTTCTAATACAGGTGTAAATAAGGTGATTTCAATGAAGTATAATAAAAAAAGTTTTTTCCGGCCTCAATAAAAGGCAGTGTATAACCTTCCTTTTTTACCATTAAATTTCTCGGGAAAACACTTTTTCTTATTATTTTTGGTGCGTAGAATCCAAAACAATTCGTACTTTGTCGATCAGACTTCTCAATCAAAAGTTATGGACTAGAAACCAATTTCGAAAGCAAATTCAAAGGGCTGTAACTTTTGAACTAGTAGCCCAATCTTGGAACTGTTTGAAATTATGGATTCTACAGGCCACATTCTATAAGAAACATTTTTTTCCGGGTCGATCTGAGACAATTTTTTTTGAGGGCCTCAAAAAAAGGCAGTGTACAACCTTCCTTTTTTACCAAAAATCGACTGCACCAAAATATCTCGGGAAAACACTTTTTCTTATTAATTTTGGTGCGTAGAATCCAAAACAATTCGTACTTTTTCGATCAGACTTCTCAATCAAAAGTTATAGACTAGAAACTTAACTATCAGTCTTTAAAATGATCACACAGGAGCGAAATGTTTAATTTTTGAGTTTCGTGGTTTACTCCTTTGACAGCGAAAGGCACAAATCCCAAAATGTTTATAGCCTTGCCTGAGTTTTTGGTTAATATTAAAATAATCAACGCAGAATTCATTGTACTGACATCTGTTTTTATTATTGTGGACTAACATTTTATCGCTAAATGCAGGACACTTTATTACCACCATTATTTTAGTTGCTACTTACACCTCAAAGATGTCGCAACACTTATTTTATACTGTATGAAATGTTAGATGTCAGAGCGAACTTATTAAAAACCATAGACGCTTCCATAGATATATGAAGTTTTTACCTCAAATGCATAAATGAATGTTT